CCTTGGAATAGCCCCTCTCCCCACCCTCCTTCACCACAGAGTCTCTATTTTGCCCCAGCCACACTTTGCTTTGCCCCCCATGAGATGAGACTCGGGCAGCATCTGTTTATTAGAGAGCAGTGTCAGCAATGTGAAACAAAATAGGTAAGTAACTGGTGAAAACAGCTCTGCTAAAATAGAGGACTAGCTCTGATCAGGCTTGGCATGATATAACATGGTGGTTTAAAGCCCTGTAATGCCATTTTCCATTAGAGCTCTTGTTCAAGTCGGGAAGGGGTTTGATCCATTGATGGAAGCTGTTATAAGCAGATGAGAAAACCTCATCCATATTTCTCTTGAGATTGTGTGAAACTGACAGTATGCTCACTGACCACAGTCATCTGGGACTCTCCCAAACAAAATAACCCTCTTTTCATAAATAACAGGATTGTTGTGGTGGTGGACTGAGATTTGCTGTAAAATTCAGTTGTGTCAAACAAAGAGCTTCTTCTGGTTTTTAATTTGAGCTATTAAAAAGATTCATTTTTCTCTTTGTTCTCATTTCCCTTACCCTCTTTCTCCCTTTCCATTTTTTTTTCTTCCTCTCTGTCTGTCTTTAGGATAACTTAAAGCTGTTTGTCTGAAACAAAAGACTTGTGTGGGTCTGGCCAGTGGTGCCTCCGGACTGAATGGTCACATTTCAAATCCTACTTAGGATTAAACTTGGATGAATTCCATGAGCTAATAACCCAGTGCAGTGTTTCAAATTGATGGAGGTGCCGTCCTCTAGATGAGACATAAAACTAGAGATCCAATCTGCTTGGCAGAGACCCCACAGGACTTATCAAAGATGAGTGGGGGCTGCTAACTGTTTTGCCCTTGTCAAATCCTTACCACCATCACGGTTTCTCTTCCCGTTCCAAAGCAATGACACTGGACCTTATGAAAATGAGATGGTGAATTTGAAGGAGCCATCCTTTTTTTCTAATTATTTAAAGCAGTTTGCAGTGTCTGGCAGAAGGAGGAAAGAGAGATAATCCACTCACTTGAAAGTGGAATGACCCTGAATTTCAAAAAGCAAAACAAAAGCGAGCGAATGGTGCCACCATGCTCTGCAGCAGTGACATTATTAAAGGATCAGTGAGCTATTAAAGCAGCAACATTTAGTACCTCCCCTAATGACTTGTACTGCTAACTGGTTTCCAAATTGAGATTTTTATTGCCTCCATGCACAGACAGAACAAGGCTCTGTCTGCGCTTCCAGAGGCTGGAGCTTAAGCAGACTGTTCACAATAGGCTCAATGAATCGTGTCAGCTGAAAACCGGTAATGGCTTGTGAGAGTCCCCACTCCTCTGTGCTCCCTTCTTACCAGGGCTGGAAGCTTTGGGCTGTGGGGCATGGTGGGGATCGTAAACGTGCGGGATTCTGCAGAGAGCCCAGCACGATTCTTGAACCTCCGAACATCTGTGAAATTTGGCAGAGTTGGGCATAAACAGACTGTCCTGAAATCTCCCCAAATCTGCTGATGCCATTCACAGAGTGAATGCTGTGAGGAGGGCGTTTGCAGGAGGGACACTGGTTTCCATTTCCAAGTAGAAATACGGAGTGTGAAGGAATGAGTTTCTGAAGGAAGAAGAGAGATCAGAGGGAGCTGCAGATGCTAGTAGGACACACCCAGCTGTTTCCAACATGACTCTCCCAAATACATTTTAGCTGTCTTGTATAAGCTGAGCTCTCATGATGGGAATAGCAGGGAAATGGCCTTCTGTCAAGTGCAGCTCAGGCTAGGAAGGGAGTTCCTGTGGGCACACAGCACGTGTGACTGCAGAAAGGAAGCTGGTTAAAAACCAACCAGCCGACCAATCCACCCAGTGGAAATGGGTTTGGGTTGCAGTAGCTGTTATTTACGTGCTCAGGATACTCTATAAGCCAAAGTGGAGCTTGAGCCTTCCATGCACCAGAGATAAATGCAAATGTTATTGCTTTAATTTGTTCTCCTCTACCAGTTCTGCACACACGTGCTGCTGGCGCTTGCTGAGGGAGTCATGCCAGCTCTTGCCCAGGCTGGACAGTCACAGGGAGAGACCAATGCTCTGCCCCTGGTTTTATGTATCAGGTGCCTGATTTCCATGACAGAAACCGCTCATCCCTTGCAGAAGTGACAGGCAGAGCAGAGGGGGCAGGATGGCTGGAGAGACTAGTATTAGAACATGCACATTTTTTATCCCATGCTGGTTTAGTCTCTTTTCATCATTACTGACTGCAAGTTATTCCCATTTTGTGACTTTTCAGTGGATGCCCATGGCACTGCATTTCCAGTGTCTTCACACTCTCCATTTGTGTCCATGCTCTGCAAAATACCCTTACCTTTCTTGGCTATCTTAGCAAACAGGTCTCTATGTGGGGTGCAAAATATGTTCAGAACTGTAGGAAAATGGGGTGAAGTGACCTGAGAGGCCCTTTTATGTTTCCTTACCCAAATTTCATGCAGCACCAGTTACACCTAAACCATTCATGTCTGCTGTGGGTTTAGCCTATTCTTGAAGAGCTCTGGTCTGGAGATTTCCTGCTAAGGCAGGTTATTCCAGTGGTTAGCTGTCCCCAGCTCCAGAAAGCTGTTCCTAAGCTGAGTTCAGCAGTGGAACTGGATTCCTGCAGGTCAGGGTTAAGGCAGCAGCTCGTGGAGCCACATCCTGGGCTGCACCCACTGCCATCCAAGGGCTTCCTCCCCCAGGACAGCAGGCCAGGAGCTTCCCACTGTGCAAACAAAAGCAATGCAGAGAGACAAAGAAAAGGGCAGCAGGGCCACTTCTGGCAGAGGAGCTTTCTGAGATTGCCACTGACAAAATGTCCTCGAGACTTTACTGAGTCCAATTACCACTTCATGTCTTTAAAGTGACGAGCAAATGAAAGAAACTACAAGATCAAGCCATGTTAGTCTTCTCAATCCCTTAAGTGTCTGACAGCCCTCTCCCCTTCTTCCTCTCTTCCTCAGACTACTCTGAACTCTTCACCTTCACCACCGCTTTGAGTCCACATCCGCAGCAACCAGGCTGCCCCCAGTCGTCCCCAAATTCCAGAAACAACCACAAAACACTTCCAGAGCAACACTGCCCTCCCTCGAATTGCTGAACTTCAGGCTGTCTCCAACTTTCTGAGCCTCTCTGCATGCAAGGCTTGCCCAGCAGTGCTGGGTGGCTGCAAGGGGAGCTCGCTGGGCACTGCCACAGCTGGGGAACAGCTGGGGAACAGCTGGTGCTGATCCACACAGCCTGTGCTGATCCACACAGCTGCCTCTCCCTGTCCATGCAGGCAACATCTGGGAGCACCAACTGCTCCAGCTCTGCCCTGCTGCTGGCCAGGAGAACAGAGGTGCCCACAGCACACGTGGTATGAGGATCAGGAGTGTGTCAGGATAGACCCTCAGGAGGGACAGAGCCATGGAACCATCCCCAGGCACAGCAGTGGGAGCTGGAAAAGCAGGATACAATTATTGGAGAGAGGAATGGAATGTCAGGAGTCATCCTCACTAGACCTGACTGCAGCACTAGCAGAACTGGTGGCTGGATTTTTGGAGAAGTAAAGACTGTCACATCAGCTTGACCTTCCTTATAAATAAATAAATAAATAAATAAATGATAAAGAGAGCTCACAGTGCTGTGTGAACCTGATGTCTCAGGCTGACTTGTTTTGATGTGTCTAATGTAAGTGGGCGGGTAATAAAAGCTTCATTTAGGAGCCAGTGTCTTCAGTGGCTCTGCTGGAAGCCCCTGGGATGCTGCATTTCTGGAATTTTCCTCCTATGGCAACATCAGCAGATAATTACTGATAAAGCAGAGCATGCATACACACACACACCAAACACCCCAGCAATGGTTTATCCTCCTGGACTGCTGGGTGTTGGATGCAGAGATCCCTTCAGACTCCCCAGGTGCTGTGCCCACCTCAGCTGCTGCAGCAGCCCTGCTGAATGGTCCTCACCACCACCCTCTGGGACAGTGCCCTGGAGCACCCTGAGGTTATTGAGGGTAGGCATCAGTTCAAAATAGGAAAATAAAGGAGCCTCCTGCCCCCACAACACAGCTGTGGATAATGGAGCCCACTGGGTATCTCCCAGCTGGACATCACCCTGTGGATGGTAAGGGGATGCTGCTCTGTAACAGGCAGGCTTAATGCTGACTTCTCACATGAGCAGCAGGTTCACCCCATGGACATGTTGTCTGGGATATTGTTTTTCAGTGCAATCCACAGGTTATTCAACTTCTTTGTCAGCAGCTGAGTCTTCAGGAAGGTCTGGTTCCTGTGCCCCTGAGGTCTCCATGGCAGCTTTGATGAGCAGCACCCGCCCTAATGCTGGGTTTAGGGGTCAGCTGGAGGAGAAATCGTGGCTAGTGAGAAGAAACACCAGAGTCACTGCTGAACTTGTTAAGGTAACCTGCTGTCCTTCCAGGTTGGTGCTAAAATCACCATTTCAGGTCCTGAATGCAACACAGGGAGAGAACAGTGAATGCTCCCACGACACTCTGGGGGTCACAGCTAAAGGTGTGGAGGGCTACAGCATTAATCCCAACCTTCAGTACCCTGGTCCATGGCAGGTTCACACCGTGGTGTAGCTGACCTTGTATCCTGGATACAGAAATACTGCCTGTAACCAAGCATTTTAAGGTAATTATTCTCCTTGAATGTGGAAATTGGAGGGCCCCTTTTGTCTAGTGTATTATTTCATGAGAACCACGGGGATCTGCAGCCAGGTGTGGGGGGAAAGGGAGATCATTTCCTCCTGTCTGTGTTTCTATGCAGCATCTGCTTGTGAAACCAAGAAGCAAACAAGATGACCCCCACCTTATCTGCCAGTGTAAGTCATTTTTGTCTGGAGACTGAACTCTGTGGGATGGTTGATGTAAAACTTGCTCTTGCATTAAATAGCAATAACTTACCTCTAGAGTCTGCTCTTTTTTTAAATTATTATTATTATAACTTTTAATGATTAAGAAAATGCTCCTTAATTAAAAACTCACAGATATGAAGCTTGGAAGAAATGTGGCCAGGACATTCTTGGATTACTACAGGCTGAACTCCTTGGTGGAGGGACCACTCGCACCGACTCCTAAAACTCGGTAGGTCAGAAAGCAATTTCTCTTGCTTCAGCTGGGCTGCTCTTTTAATACCTTTCCTGACTAAACTTCAGTGCTACTGCATTACAGCTTTATAACATGTGCTAGTCTAACTGTGCTTATTTTATTGAAATTCCATTTGGAAATAAAGCATTTGTGATCAGGAAAGATACCTGGGTTATGTCTGAAAAAATATTCAGAGGATTTTGGAGATATCGATATCTTTCCTGAATTCTGTCTGCTGTGCACCAATCTCACCCCAGTATCTTTAATGGACTTACCCTTCATTTATCTCCCGAGAGCGAATCAGACCCGCTTTTATTTCGCAAAGTTTTAATTCTGGAAGTGAAAACTTTTTCAGTGCTTCAGGAAGTGGCTGGCAAGCCTGTGGTGAGGCAGAGCTCTCCCTCCCTTGGAGCTGTGCTGGCAGCCAGAGGCAGGATCCTGCTGCCAGCCCAGCTGGACACTCTGCCCTGGATCCCCTCTCACCCCGAGCCCCTGCTCCAGGTTCACAACCAGCCCAGGGCGTGCTAGCCCAAAAGGAAGTGGGGTGTGAAGTCAGGCACTGGTGAGCAAGGCACAAAGGCATGAAATGCCCAGGCTTGGCTCCCTGCAGCACTGCTGGTCCTTCTCTGGTGCTGGCCAGCTGCATCCTTTCAGTGTCCCTTAGCTTATTGTGAGGGGCAGGGGAGATACCACTGAGCTGTGTAACAGCATCCAGAGGGGAGCAGAGCAGGAACCTGAGCACCTGTTTCATGGGAGACATCATATTCAGTACTTGCCTCTGTTCTGAGAAAACAGCAATAATGCCTCCAAACTGAAAAAAATTCAATTAAATGCATTTGGACCAATTGGAATGTTTCGTTTGGGTTTCAACTCTTAACAGCACAACCAATATATATAGTTTATATTTTGATATATAGTTTATATTTTGTAATGGAAAAGGCAATTCCAAATTGGCAAGGGAGGCAGCTGAGCCTTGAGATTTTCCTTCTTTTTTCCTCCCTTAAAAGAGTAGCTGTGGGAACGTTCCTTGTTTGCAAAGGAACACTTTCCTACTGAAGATTTTCTAGTGATGTGTAAGATGGATGTTACAAATATCAGCCCAGACCAGAGAGCAATTGCTGGAGTTCCTTTAAAAATCCTCTCACTGCAGCCATTCTGGCAGCTCCTCATACATGTGGTCAGAGCCAGGCTGCCTGTGTCAGGCCTGCTTTGAGCCCATCTCCCTTTTCTGTTTGTGATCTTGACACCACAGTTTAGGCTGGCTCAAGGAGGATTGTCAGCACTGCAGCTCTGAATGTTCTTATCTGCAGAGACCTGCAGGGTTAGCAGAGAACAGCATCCAGCATCTCCCTCTCCTCCGGAAATTTAATGTATCATTTCTCTCAGACTCCCAGGGGCCACAGCCTCCAAGGCTAAAAACCCACAACTATTACTGAACCTAATTACCACCTGACAGCAAAGTGCTTTTCCATAGCATCGTCCAGTTACCTCGTCAAAAGGAATGGTTGTTTGCTTTCTTCATTTTAAATTAAAGAACCACTGACAGTGGTAACTGAAGCATTTTAATCTCATCAAATATCCATGTCCATCTCTATAGAGACAGCCACGCCAGCAGGGAAAGATACACATCTCTAATCAGGTTGCACAGAGCAAATTCTTCTTGTCCCCCCCACCAGAGCCTAGTGCAGTGAGGGATCTTTTGTTTGGGGGGTGCTACCTCACAGTAAAATCCTAAATATGGCCAATGTTCAGCCCTAAGCCAACAGATGTTTAAGGAATGGATTTTTAAAGATTCATGTTGTTAATTTCCTGATGGATTTCAAATACCAGCTTTTCCCTGCAAGTAGATAAATGCCTTCTATTTGTATTCTGGGCTTTGTCACCTGACATTTGATCAGAGTCTTTATATATACATATATATATATATATATATATATATATACATATGCACCTAAAATGTACATCATTAAATTGTTCTTTGAAGCTGCTGTGTTAACTGCAATCCTCTCCAAAAGGAATTGCTGCAAACTGCTGGGAAACAGAAGGGAGATGGCTGTAGCTTTAAATATGCCTTGGCTAGGCAGCGGCACTAGGAAAGGACTGGAATATGTAAAATGATACTAAATATCTGTGTAATCAGGACTAATTATATGGCATGGTTATTAGTGGAAACAGGACATGTTGTGCCCACAGTTTATGAAAATATATTTAAACATTACTGGATTTCACACAGTCATTGAAAGAAAGCTGCAGAGTTAATAAACGTGTAAGGGACAGCTAATTGCCTGCTTTGTCCCAGACTAGGACAGGCAGAACAATTTCTGTTTGAGGATATTAGTGCAGCCAAAATGTGTTAGAATGACAGGCCTGGAAATAGCAACAACCTGCAACACTTCCAGAGCACGTCTGGCCGCAAGGAAGGAAATGTTTGTGTTGGAATCACCATGTTTTGGAGAAGGAAATTGAGGCACATGGAGGGAGAGGTGGACCTGAGGGTCAGAAGTAGGGCTGGCACCCAAATTCAGGCACCTTTACAAGAGCTTTGTCCTTGCAGTCAGGCTGTGAGAGAGCAGCCATCCTACAGCACAGGCGATGCAGGCAGTTCAGTGGGAATGGGATCAGGATCATCTGGAGTAAGAGGCAATAACTGATGGACCAGCTCTGGTTACAGAACAAGACTGAGGCTGGAGGTGGGGCACCCTCTGCTACCAAAATGCAGCTTATTTCAAGGGTCAAGAGAAATAACTGTATTTGTATTCTGTGTATAATGCCATTATGTGCCTGCAAGTGAACCTAGCTGGCTGGCTGGACCTGGGGTTAAATTCCACTTGTCCTTGCCTACAGGAGCCCAAATGCCACCATATCACAGAATCATAGATTGTTCTGGGTTGGAAGGGACTTTAAAGATCATCCAGTTTCATCCCCTAGATGGTGGACCTTCCACTAGACCATCCCCATCCAACTTGGCTTTGAACACTTCCAGTGACAAGGAATCTACAGCTTTTCTGGGCAACCTCTTCCAGTGATGAAGCCCAGCACAGCTCATCCATCTGCTCCCAGAACCCATCACCCCCTTTCCTCCTACTGAGCTCCCTCAGGCATCCCCCAGTTCCCCTTGGAGTGACCACAGAGTTTCCCACAGCCTGCAAAGGAAGGTCAGGTTTGAAGCAGAAACCCCAGAGTGTCCTGCAGTCCTCCAGGCAGGGAGGCCCTGTGATCCCAAACAAACACCCAGCTCACAAAGATAATGTCTGCTGTTATCTGCATGCTAAGTAATTATTTTCCTGAAGGTGATGTGTCTGCAGCGAGGCAGGAAAGCATCAGTGACTCAGCTGAGGAGGGCAAGAAGGTTAGAGTATTTTCCTCTGTGAGCTAATGAATTAAAAGCCTTGCTGAAAATGCTGGATGCTCTTTGGAGTGACAAACGAGCAGGCCCATGAATTTCTAGCAGGGCACGAGAGAGCTCTGTGCTGCCTGCAGGAGCTGCTGGAGAAGAGAGCACTGCCACTTAGCTGTGCTGAGAGAGGCTCAGAGAGCCTGTCCTGGACACCAAGACAGCTCTCCAAGGGTGGGTTAAGTGGGCACAGAGCAGTGCAGAAAGGGGCTGTTGGACAGCGATGAAGGTTCATGGCCTCTCTCTCCTCTTGTTGCTTTCCTAAGCTGCTCACTGACCAGAGATCCACTCCCAGGGCACTCACTGGGAACCATTTGAGGGGGGCTCCCTTTGATGCTGCCAATGGCACAGGGAGCTCTTCCTCTCACAGAGCCTCTGTCCTGCTCTCACCTCTTTCTACTTGTGCCAGAGGAAAGGTTAAGACTTCTTGGGCTGAAAGTGTGAAATGTCCTCCTCTGAAAGGAGGCTGGTAAAAGGTGAAAAATTTGTAAGAGATTAAGAGACAGCAGAGCATACAGCTGTTACAGAGAATGACTAAGGTGGAAAAGAAGAATTTTGGTGAGAAATTCACAAATGCCAGTCAGCTTGCACTGCCTGAAGCTCATCCCTTTGCCCATATCAGCATTTCTCTGTTCTTTCACTCTGGCTCCCTGGCTGTGACAGAGCCCAGCATCACCAGAGATCTTCTCTCCTTAGACCACTGACATTTTCTCTCTAAGAGCCACCAGATCCATGTTACTCATATTCTGGGCACACTGAATTTCAAATTCTAGATGTCCTGAGTGTTTAAACAGCTCTGTCAGAGGTTAGGGAAGATGGGCTTTGAACAGTGTGGGTATCCTGAGAAATCCCACCTGGGCCTTGCTGGTGGAGCATTCTGCAGCTCATGTCTGCCCCATATTTTTCTGTAGGTAAAACCCAGGTATTCTGCTCACAAAAATGCTGGAAAAGAAATTCCTTCCTATGTGGGAACCTCACAATTGCTACACTGATACACATGAGAGAAAAGCTCAGAAGAAGAAAATTCTAAGAGCATGGATTTGATGGCATGTGGCAAATAGTGCCTGGGGCCACACACTGAATGAAAAAAGGACAGAACAAAATATTGACTGGCCCTTCATTAATTGCCGTCTGTCTATCGTGCCCTGAATAAAGCAGCAGCCTTGTTGAAGAAAAAGTAGGCTGTGATGAGGTAATTAAAGACCCCATCAGAAGGCATATCTGCCAGGAGGTTGAATTAAAATTGCTCTGACAGCCTTTATTCTGGCAATTCCTCCTTTTGCTGCTTGACTTTGCAGCTCTAATGATGATGTATGAGAGCCCAGCTGTGTCTCCAGCAGGCTGGATGTGCCCACGGGACTGTCCCACCATGCTCACAGGCCATGGGCACTGCCTGCTGCACCACACTGGCTGGGGATGGGGAAGGCTTTGTGTGTGGGCACAGTCTGGCCAAAGGTAGGTCCTTCTGCCTGGACAGCTCATTTTGAGCCCCACCTCAACACTCAGCAGCTGTGCCCAGAGGTTTTGTGGGCTGGCAGGCTCTGACACCAGGCCAGGGCTGTGCTGCTCTCTGGCATGTGCTGAGTGCAGGTCCTTCTGCCCC